TTTGAACCTAGTAACGGCTAAGCGCCTGTTTCATTGAAGTGTTGCACAGAATTTTAAATGCGTTTCTCTTATAAACTGTCAAAATGCTAAATGTTAAAGTTACATGTGACATCCGGCAAAACGCAATTTGGTTACATTCAATGAGATGAGATGACAGCACATTGCAACATACTACGGCAGTTACGCAGAGCTTGTAACAACACAGCACATCATAAAACAACAACATCTACAACATCAGCACAACAACAACATCAACAACATCAACGAACATCAGCAAACAATCACAACACAAACAAGCATCAACAAACATTAACTAACATTAACAACATCAACAAACATCAACATCAACAAACATCAACAACATCAACAACATTAACAACATCAACAAACATCAACAAACATCAACAAACATCAACAACATCAACAACATCAACAAACATCAACAAACATCAACAACATCAACAAACACAGAAACATCAACAAAACAATACAGTCATTCGTGTCAGTCAGTTTGACCGAAACACGTGCATACTTCATAAATATGTCAGAAGAAGGACAACAACGGCTCCAGCCACATCATCGCTTGCGTAAAACAACTTCACCCCACCCACCAACGACAACCGCAACAATTAGAACAACTTCATCGTCACTCTCACACAGCTACCGCAACAACAACAACGACAGCAACAACAACGACAACCAAACAATCGATCTCATATTCAACATACGGCAAACGAACGACTTTACAACAACAGTGACAACATCCTCAACTACATTTACATACAACAACAACATCATCAACTACGACAGCAACAACAACAACAACAACTACTACTACAACGACGACGACGATGACAACCTTGCGTACAACATCACTTACAAACAACAACATTCACCTTTCACTCGCAGACATTTGGATGTTAACCAAAAAACAATCCTCCCAATATGACAATATGACATGACATCAACACATTACTAACTAACTGAACTCCGCATTCATTCCATCCTCCACCGTACATTTATACACACGTGTTATATCGTAATGAGCGTTAGTGTATCAATGTGTGCATGTGTGTATACATGCGTGTGTGAGTGTGTGTGCATGTGTGTGTGTGTTATGTTTGTATATGTGCTTGCAAGTGTATGAGTGTGCGTATATTCGTTTGCCTGGTAGTGTGTATTTGAGTACATACATACAATGTATGTATTTGATTGTGGACGAGCGTGCATGTTAGTTGTTATTGGAGGTGTTTGTATATTTTTGTTTGTGCATGTATTGTTAACAAATGCAGCGGTAAATAGTAAATACATTGTACGGACAATAATAAAGCACAATGTAACTGTGAGTAAAATAAAAAAAGAATCGTTTGTATGTGCGTTTGTATGTAGGTGGGTACGTGTATTGCACGTATGTATGCGTGTTGTACATGCGTGCGTGCGTGTGCCATCCATCCTTTGTGTCTTAATTTGAATGATGTGCATGAAAACATTCAACAAAATTGACACAACATTTTATGGATGTGCATATGAACATTACAACGGAAACGATGTATGTGTACGTTATATACACGCGATTCACTCACTATCCGTGTGTACAACAATTTTGAATTCCTACTGCGTAAATTTTTGTGATTTTTTCGTGCGATAATGTTCTCCTTGAATCAGTTTAGTATCAATATAACTAAAGAAATCTTCATCAGTGGTTATATTAAATCGCAACGCGTGTTGATACATGCATGTGCTGGTGCTCATATTTCTTAACTTCTGACTTGCGGGATGAACAATAAAAACTTGTTATTACTTCGAAACCCGTTTGGGTTCGGGTTTATTAGGTTTCTTCATCAAAACTGAAAAATCAACCAGTTCAAGATACCAACCAGTTGAAGACGTTCAACAAGTAACGGTGAACAACTAGAGAAATAAATGCCTTTAATGGGAGAAACGACTAAACATATCTGGAGTCAACAATCACATGCAGTTGAAACTTAAATTTAAAAGAATGGTATGAATGGTAAAGTCCTTGCAGTCATGACGATACTTTCAAAACGTGTTTGAAAAATCTGAATCCAAAATATTATTCTAGAGTGCTCGTGTAAAGAAAAGTTTTTAATGGCAGTAGGAGATTGTTCTCAGCGTGCATGTATCACGAGCACAGTTGGAACAGTTTTCAAATGATGCTTCGTGAACATATTACATATTTGTAAAGTACCTCGGATGTTTCATGAACGTCTCATGGAAAAAAGTTAAACCAGAAAAATTTAAAAATGGCCAACACACTAGCTGGGATCATAAAATCTGAAAGGATCTCAAAATTTAGAAAAAGAAGGAGGCTCTCCGTCAGATGACTATCATAAAAAACAACGTTTTTTTTTAAAGTTTAAATTTTGGAAGAGTTTTCGTTATAGAAGAAACTATAACTATAGAACGAAGGAAGAAGAATCAGATCATTATCGTGGCGTACTCATCGTCTTTTGTGACAAAGGGGAGCCGAACAATATAAAATAATCAAGAGCATGGAAATTAAAAATTAATAAAAATACTTATAATGATGATAATTGTTTTATAGAGAAACATGTTAATATTCTTTATAAGAATGTCTCTTCATAGGTTGCAGCAGTTTGATGATACTGAACGATCGAAAGCAGCGAAAGTTGCATGTGACTGAACGGATGAACATCTGTCCCAATGTTCCCAACCCTTACCCTCCAACTGCTGAACCATTAAACTGCTTCAATGTAGAGTTTTTCAGTCGCCACTGGCTCAAAAGACGTTCGAAAGAATATCAATTCGTTATACTTCGTGCAACATTACTTTGACGATTTCAAATACGTCATCATGTACGTACAGGCAGTCGTCACAAGCAGCCCAGACGCGCGCGCTCATATGCATGCACATATTATACATCCATACAATGTATAAATAAATAAGTATATGTATACATAAATACATTTATATTCATAAAAATGTCAACAAGTAAATTGATTGTAAACAAATTTGGAAAGACATTTGAAGCAGACGAACAAACATTTGCCGCATGCAAAGCACAGCAGCGAATAACTTTCAATCATTAAAGTTCACAAACTTCAAACCTGCCTTGTTTGTTTTTTTACATTTTGTTTTGCAATGCAACATTTTATAACGTAACGTAGGCCATGGGAGGATCTGGAGATATTATTTAAAACATTGACTCTGCCAAACGGAGTAACTAACCTTTTGAATTATTAATGAGCATCCTTTTATTCATGCAAGCGTTCTTTCATGCATTCATTCGTTCGTTCGTTCGTTCTTTATTCATTCATTCGGTCATTCATTCATTCATTCATTCATTCATTCATCCATCCATCCATACATTCATTCATGCATTCATTCATTCATTCATTCATTCATTCATTCATTCATTCATTCATTCATTCATTCATTCATTCATTCATTCATTCATTCATTCATTCATTCATTCATTCATTCATTCATTCATTCATTCATTCATTCAATCAATCGTTCCTTCTTTCCATCTTTTGTTTGTTTTGTTCGTTCGTTTATTCATTCATTTATTTACTTTTATAAATAAATCTAATGTATCTATTCGTTTCACATTCTAACACATTAACATGTCTGGATATCATTAGATGTACTATCCATTAATACGAACTGTTTAACATCATTTTTATGAGATTTATTTTTCTTTATATCACTTGTGTGTATCATTTGTATGAGTATCATCTCTATATGTATCACTATAAACCTTGTAAAAGTATCAATTGTAAAAGAACCATTCGTATGCGTATCATTTGTATATGAATCCTTTGTGTGAATATCATTTATATATGTATCAATATAAACCATTTGTAGTTGCATTCAACTTGTAGTTGAGTTAACTACAAGTTGAATAATGCCGAAAACGCTGTGATCTTTATAAATAATTGTATATATATACATATATATATATCATTTGTATCTGTATCACTTTTTATACAAACCATTTGTATTTTAATCATTTGTATGTATATCTTCCGTGTGTCTATTTATAGTGTGCTATATAATATTTTATGTCTACACGCCATTCATCGGGGTATCACTATTTCAAGCATTATTTTATTCACACATTTGTTTATTTGCTAGTTCTCGATTGCACTCCTCCATCATTCCAATGGCATGAAAGATTGCGGAATGTTCAGGATCATTTTTGTTTGTTTCAAAGGATACAATATTCTCAATATAATAATAATTAATATTATAATTGATTGATTGATTGAGTGAGTGAGTGAGTGAGTGAGTGAGTGTGTGAGTGAGTGAGTGAGTGAGTGAGTGAGTGTGTGAGTGAGTGAGTGAGTGAGTGAGTGAGTGAGTGAGTGAGTGAGTGAGTGAGTGAGTGAGTGAGTGAGTGAGTGAGTGAGTGAGTGAGTGAGTGAGTGAGTGAGTGAGTGGGTGATTGTTATTGAATTACGGAAAAGCTTGAATGTCTAAATACGATTGTTTCAATTTAAATACAAATTGTATCAATTCACCATTTAACTCATTTGATTAAGAATTTTTTGATCAAGTATCTTGTTCTTTAATATGACCTATACCTTGCACAACCGACCACCGATTTATACATCATTCATTAGCCCTTAGAGTGAATTATTAAACTAACAATGCATTAATGTATTTTTTATTTCAACCATAAACTCATCCATTCATTTATTCATTCATGCATTAACCAATTCATTCATCTATCTATTCAGCCATCCATCCGTCTATCTATTGCCTTTTATTTCTTCAACCATTCATACAAAGCTGTACATTTATTTGTTCGCCAGCTTTTGTGTATTATTTTGTTGTTGTTGCTGCTGTTGTTGTTGTTGTTGTTGTTGCTGCATGCTCGTTCGTTCATTCATTCTTTTGTTGGTTCATTCAATTATTCATTAATGCTTATATACAAAAATATAGGCGGAGTTATGTGCACGTCGCCTTATACTTTATTCATTCACATTCTGTGTATTTTTGTTGTTAATTAATTGTTAAAAATATTGCATGGGCCAACGTGGTTGTTGTTGCTGTTGTTGTTGCTGCTGTTGCTGCTGCTGTTGTTGCTGCTGTTGTTGCTGCTGTTGTTGCTGCTGTTGTTGCTGCTGTTGTTGTTGTTATTGTTGTTGTTGATGGTGTTGTTGTTGTTGTTGATTTGCTGTTGCTGTTGTTGTTGTTGTTATTGTTATTGCTGCTGTTATTGTTGTTGTTGTTGTTGTTGCTGTTGTTGTTTCTGCTGTTGTTGTTGCTGCTGTTGTTGTTGCTGTTGTTGTTGCTGCTGTTGTTGCTTTTGTTGTTGTTGCTTGTTCTCCCAATAGTCGTCAAATTATTCTTATTGAATAACTTTCTCTTGTCGCTATGCGTTAGTGAGTGCCTCCTATTTATTCAATTCATCAAAGCTCTGCAATTAATGCATAATGCACGAACTATGCTGTTGATTTACCATAAAAACTTATTTCCGTTGTTGTAGATCAATTATTTATTTATCTATCTGTTCTATATAACCATTCATTCATCTTTTTGTCCTTTTCTTCATCCATGTGTTTAACAATTCATCCATCTATCCATATTTTCATTAATTAATTCTTTCATCAATCCATCCATTTATTCATTCAATTATTCGTCTATCCATTTTTTCAGTCCAGTCAGCCCTTCGACTATTGCCACCAATCCCAACGACAATTCACCTTGTAACTCACCTTTTTGCATAATTATCCGCCAATGCATTAAATGAATGTTTTAATTCAGTTCTAACTCAGTTCATTTAGCATAGCAGACATTTGAATATCAACAAAATGCAAAAATATTTTTTGATTTTTGAACTTTTTTTCTCATTAATTTAGCCATTTATGTTTATGCTATCAATTCATCTTTCACGTATTAAACTTTTCATTCGTTTATCCATGTATTATGTAATCATTCACCAATGTATCAGGGATGTTTTTCTAACGGTACTCATATATCCATCCGCCAATCTATCCACCTATCCATCTTCACAAATCTTCTCATCTATAATTTATTTTCTATTCACTCACTCATTCATTCGCTTTTCAATTCTTATTATCGTTCAATAATTGATGCGAGCCTTCATTAATATTATCATCAAATTTCCAGAAAAATATCATCCACCAGCAAGGCTTTCTTCTTCTATTTTTGTTTCGCTTGCACCTTTCTATAAAAAAAATTTACCATCCGACTAAAAATAACAAAGCAACATTGAGATAATAAAAGCCATAAATTATAAAAATTGGCAGCAGATGGATGTCAGTGATGGCATGAAGTTATCAGAAAGTGGCGACGATGATAATGTTGAGGTGAGGAATTTTCGCAAAGCAGAAATTTCACAGTGTTATAAATTTCTTATCAAGTCAGTGATCAGTCGCAGAATTTATGACGTATCAAATGTTATCAAACACATGTTTCTCTTGCAAACATACGCACTGTAAATTACTTGCATACCAAATGATCATTTTGTTTACTACCTTTTTGTTCACTTTTTATCTGAATGACCAGATAACGACGTGATAAAATAATAAAACTTTTGTACTGAAAAAACTCTCTTTCCTGAACAAACACTTGCAGCTTATCAAATCTCAAAAGTTGAAAATTTTAATTGCGTTTTTTAATAAAATTTGTAAAATCGATATTTAGCTAAACATATATTAAAAAACTTTTTTCTTTTAGGTCTATTAAACGATGTTGATGCCATTTAAAGAAAAACGATAGGGTGTGCTGGTTGAGGAGCAAATGAGATTCGGTGGGAAAACCGAAATAACAACAACAAACAAAAACAGCAACAACAAAGATCGAACGAACCAAGCTGTCCAGCTCTCTGTTAGCGGAGAAGTACGGCTTCTCAGCGTTGACTTGATTGGCGAAGACTCTGACATCTTCGTTGAATGACTCCGACGAGCAGACCTCACTGCCAGGATTGTTGGAATCGCGTGGAGTGCACGTTGACAGCTCACATTTCTCAAAGACCAGAGCCAGTAACGGAAACAATGGGTGCCTGACATTAAAGAAGGATTCCAAATTAATTTCAATACGATTCATTTTTAAAACGTGAATTGGATAATTTAGTCCGTAATTCGAATTGATGTTTATTGTTGAGTTTTTTTAAATATTTGAGAACTGATCGTGGTTTACATTTGGTAAGGAAAATGAATGGACCCATGCACATGTATGCAACAGTCTACGGCCTAACGCAGCACAACCCACCGCAACAGAAAACAACACAATAGAGCACCGTGTGACACATAACATCGTAAGACATACGACTCAACATTCAACAACTCCGCATTTTACAACATTCAACACAACATTTCACAACACAACATTTTACAACACAACATTTTACAACACAACATTTCGCACCAAAACATTTAACAACACAACATTTCTAAACACAACATTCAACAACGAAACATTCAACATCACAACACAACATTCAACAACACAACATTCAACAACACAACATTCAACAACACAACATTCTACAGCAAAACATTCAACATCACAACATAACATTCTACAACACACCACAAATACCAGCAACTACCTACCCGTACACAAGATCCTTGTCTCTCTTCATCTGACTGGAATCTCTGGAAGCAGCATTCATGGGTGCCATGTAGGCGGAACCAGGAGAGTAGTGTGCGTTGTGGTGGTACTGAGAAGATGGGTGGGGGGAGTATCCAGGAGATGGCTGGGCGTAGTGGGCTGTCGGAAGTCTGTCGGTGGAAGAACCTGGCTGTGGAGTGGCGTCGAACATCATGCGCTGTGTCATGCTGCCATCCATCTGGTACATGGACAACTGTTCTGTCTCGTACTGTCCATGTATGTTGTTTCGTTCATCACAGGCGTTCCATTGTTAACAAATTTACATTCAGTAATCAATCTTAATTGCTTTGCAAAAATGTTTTCAAAAACTGAAACTATTATGAATATTTGTTAACGACGCTATTTCTATTAGCTATTTCGAAGAAATCACTAACAAATTGATGGTCATGAAATCTTTAAAAAATACTTTTTCGTCTATAAAACTCAAAATGAAGATGATGCAACTTACAACACGTAATTAAGCCACAATTATTAAAGTTCTCTATACACTCTGAATCTATACAATCTGAATCTGGCCCTAGTAAATCTTTTGTTAATTGTATTAGCGATTTTTCCATTAGTATTTTCCATTAGTATGATTAGTATTTTCATCAAAGATTTCGCCATAACTATAAAAAGCCCTTATTTCGACAGTTGCTGTAATTCCAATTCCTCTTTCATTACATCAATTTATTGAATATTTTATAAAAAAAAATTATACACTTAAAAGTTGCTTGGTTTTAATTAAAATCAATCAAAAGTTCAAAATTGTGTACAACTTAACAAATAATTAGTTCGTTAAAAATTCGTCAATCAGTGATATTATTTTATTTAATATTAAAACTGTGCCAAAGTGCCGATAGGATGAAAATTAAGGAGGAATGCTTTGGTGTTGAATTGTATGGGGAAGATAAAAAATTGTAAGTGACTGAAGTTGAAACCGTTGGATGTATAAATTTGAGGCGTGTTAATAAACAAAACCGTTTGCAAATATGTCGAGAGTGATACAAATGATAACCAAAAATGCTGGAAACGATATCGAAAATGTTGGAAATGATAACAAAAATTTTGAAAACTGAAAATTTTTTGAAAATGATAGAAAGGAAACGAAGGAGGTAACATACCCGAGAGCTGGTGCCCATCATGTTGCTGAAGTTATCAATGGTGCCTGGTTGGTTGGTTGGGCTAGCTGGATGTTTGGCTGGCTGGTTGGCTGTTCGGCTGCTTTGTTGGATGGTCAACCGCTTGGTTGATCGGTTGGTTGACTGGCCAGTTGGTTGATTGTTTGGTAGGTTGATTTGATGTCTGTTTGGCTGAACGATTCAGTTTGTAACAGAAAAAACAAATTAAAGTTTATTTGACAAAATTCTGCTTCAACTACACTGATTTTTTTTGCTAAACACTTGGATAACTTTAACAATGTACACGATGAATTTAAATTAAACAAAGGTCAGAATTTAATAATCAAACAGAAGATTTTTATAGCGCTAAAAATTAGTAGCAACTTCGAAGCGAGTGCGAGAGGAGAGAGAGAGACTTTTGAAGGGATCTGGTCGCGGGACGTCCTATATATGCGTCGGCAAGAACTCAAGTAGATTGCACGTTATCAGCGCATTCACACGGCGCATTCAATATATCTCATCGCTAGCCTGCTCTATTAATGTATGAACACTTGTATGAGTATCTCCTTCATTTCATACAATAACACTGAATGTATGATATTCGCTATATATATACATATGTATGTATATGTATATAAATATATATGTATATGTATATATATGTATGTAAATATATATATATATATATATATATATGTGTATTTACAATGTTAAGAAATATCACAGCATTTGATTAGTTTCTGGTTCAATTTTTCAATATTTCGTTCCGTATTTTTATCATAATTTTTTAACTTTTTAAACTATATTATATATATATATATATATATATATATGTGCGTGTGTGTGTGTGTGTGTGTGTGTGTGTGTGTGTGTGTGTGTGTGTCTCTGTATGTGTAATTAATATTTCTATGTATTATATTGTAGCAATATGTGCAAAAAAATAATTTTCCAATTCTAAGCTAGAAAATATATTTGTATAGAAATAGTAAAATATATGGAAAACAGAGTTGTTATCACTGGACAATTTTGTCACCAAAGAAGATAAAACTAACCACACGTTAACAAATTTAACAAATTATTTCGGCATTTGTCATGTGGCAATTCGCCACATGACAAATGTTGACAAATTATTGTTATTTCAAAATTTATTCTATCATCGTTCCATGTCAAAAATTTCAATTCTAAAAAAAAGTATCTAAAAAAAGTTTGAAACATTTTACATGAATCTTTGTTCACAAAACATACATACATAAAAAGTATACAAAATTTGAGTAAAGGTTCTTAACTTGCCAATAAAATAAATTAAACGTTAAGATAACTGATAATAAAATATACAATATACAAAATATGTTAAATGAATTTCAAAAGTTAAATACTGGAAGTGAAGGTAGAAGTACGAAGTGAGTAAGTACCTTTACTCAAATTTCGTATACTTTTTACATTAATTTTAATTTAATTTCCTTAATCATTTTACGCTTATATTTTCTCAATTTGGTTCGTTTATTCTTCTTGATTTTACAATTTTAAATATTCAATTCATATTTAATAATTTAAAGGTAGGCTCTGATGATGACATACACTGTCGAAACGACGTCGTCAGCCGTTCGAAATGCTAGACGAGTTTAATAAAATTTAGTTACAGCAATTGCGTCTTATTGAACAAACCCAAAAGAAATTAATTAATACAAAATGGGCAAGAACATTCAACCAAATTTGTTATATATATATATATATATATATATATATATATATATATATATATATATGTATACATATTTAAAAAATTAAAAATACTAATAATAATAATATAATTATCTTTCTATGTAATACAATATACACACATCTGGCAAAAGTACACACGCACACATACACGCACATACACACACGCGCGCGCACACGCGCACATACACGCACATATACACGCACATACACATGCACATACACGCACATACACACGCACACAATTCATGATTGACAAGAGCATGCTTACGATTTGAATAAAAATGCAACATTGGCCAGCAGATAGGAATTGATTCCTGCGATAGCATCCATTATCGACGTCTTGCAAGATTTGCTCCGAACGGCATAAATTCTTTCCTGAATATTTTCTATAGATAAAAATTTGTTGAGTAACCAAAATTCGTGAAAAAAAAATAAATTGAAACTTGAAAAAGAAATGGCGACAAAAGATGAACGAAAAATGTTTGTTGAAACATTTTATTTGATAAATCTGGAACTGTTATTAATATACGATGATGAGTCTTGCTTAGTTCGATAAATTTCCAGCCCGCTAAGAAAAAAAATAACTCCGTTCAAAGTGCCGCAACTTACTCGTGCGTTGTAATAATTTTAATGGTCACATGGTAACACAGCGGATTAGCATTATATCTGATGCTGGGCTGGAAGTTTGTATGCCATGAATGACGACGCGTTCTGATCAAAATTTTTTAGACATTAGAAAGCAATTGAGAAAAACTACGGACGCGTAGAAATTATGTGGATAGGTAGAATAAGATCAAGATGGATATATCATTATAACGTAATAATGATGTAGATAGATAGAGTAAGATCAAGATAGATATCTTTATAACGTAATAATGATGTAGATAGATAGAGTAAAATCAAGATATATATCATTAGTACAATAACTAGTATCGTATTTTAATTTTATCCTAAATTGTATTGGAGTTAATAGGCGTACACTGGTTTAATTTTGAAAATCTTTTAATGAATTAAATTTGAAGCAGATATCACAAACGGAGAGATGCAGTTTTATTCACATTTTATTGGATGATTCAAAATATTTCTGATTTAATTTTTCAGCAGAGCAACTTCTTAAAATAAACTTCATTCAAATGGATTCTCGATTAAATTAACCAAAAATCTTTGTTAATTATTATATACTGCCTAATTAGTTTAAGTTGATGAGAGTCTAAAATTGAACTATAGAACAAGTGTAAATGAAATGCATCCGGTTAACTGTTTGATGGGGGGCTGTTGATGACAAGACAGCAAATCGCAGAAATAAAAAAAATCATCATATCTCTTTTTAAGATTTTATCACTACAGTTGCTTAAACAAATTATGATACATTAACTTGATAATGTACGCTGTATTATGCCTAAATATTTATTCATGTAAATATACATAAATACATAAAAACGTATATATGAAAATATATGAACATTATATAAATAAGCACTATAAATATATGTGTATGTATATATATATATATATATATGTATATATATATATATATCATAGAACATTCTAATGTATTTACTATATACATATACAATACAAGCCCGTCTTCATACAAATGTATGTAAGTACGTATATGTGTACGTACGTATGTATGTAGCATGTACGTATATATGCGATGCGTTGGATGCATGAACTCACTTATAGAAGAGCGGACTAATAATAGATGGATGGGTTTTCATCTGTCAATCAACTCTGTCACGTGACTCAACGAAAACGCCATTCGTTGGAGTTTCAATCAAATTAACAGGACTATCAGCAGATTAATTGAAGATAATTTCAGATTTATCGTTTCATTTTCGCTTCGTTTAACCGCTTAAACGAGCACATTAACTTTGGCACACAAGTATCTCTATGTCTTTAATAACGTTCATTCGTGTGTGCGTGTGTGTGTGTGTGAGTGCGAATGTGTGTGAATGAGTGCGAATGTGTATGTGTGAGTTTAATAACGTTCATTTTGAGTATGCGTGTATGTGTATGATGTGTGTTTAATAACGTTCGTATCGTTCGTCAAAATGCGTGTTTATGTATATAATGTTCATTTAGCGTACGTTCGTTACACACAAGTGTGTGTGTGTGTGTGATTAATTACATTTTATGTTTGTGTAGTCATAGTCATTCAAAATAACCATTAAAAGCATTCATTTGATAAGATTGATTCATGTGCATTTCCAACCAGGGTATAATAAATACACCACATCAGGGGCGGGCAAACTACGGCCCGCAAGGCCTTGTTCGCCACAGAAAGGTCGTCAGCCAGACATTTTGACCGAAAATGGAACCACAAATCTTGAAAAAATTTTCTCCCGTGTTGAAAAAATGTGCTATTCAAGTACATATGCGGCCCTCCAATGGTAAAATAGTTCTCAATGCGGCCTTCAGAGCAAAAAGTTTGCCCACCCACCCCTTCACTATACAAAACACTACATTTAATTTTTTTTAATTACTCTAACATGTATGTTTTTTATTTTTAGTATCATTGTTTATATGCGTGACTAGAATCGTCAATCAACAAGAAGGAATGACGCACGGCTTGCCAATTTCAAATTTTGCAATGTTTGTTCTAGATTAAGAAAATACAGATCAAGGAAAAATGGAAATAAACTTCAGAGCTTTGCAAAGAATAATATGGCTGTTGATGGAAATTTCGGTATAAAAAAGTTCTTTCTATAAATGTTAAATGAGGTAACTGAGAACTGTCTCTGTATGAAAAATTAATGTGTCAAAAGTTATCAACATTTTAAACTAAAAAACTCCTACCAGAAAATAAACAGTTCAACAGATGACATTCAAACTGCAATGTTTGAATGTCATCTGCAATGCAACGTCAGAAAAGAAGAAAGCCAATCAATGGTCAACCAAATCTGTTAACGTAGGTTATTATGTAAGATGGTGAAGACGGCTCTTGTCGATTAGTCTCCAACGTTAAGGGGTCACCAGTAGGCTTTTTAGAAGGCTTCATTTGGTAGCTTATTTTCAATAACTTTTAGTCTATATAGTTTATTTATATTTAGTTAAATTCATTTAAACAGGTACTAGATCTAATATTATTGAAAATTAATAGATACTTCTGAGTGGAGCTTTGAAAGTGCTTATATCTATCTCTAGGCGTGCTTGAAAACTTGGAAATTTTGTGACAACTATCGATTAAACATCATTAACGGTTTTTCAAACGATTGTCGACATTTCCTCAAACAGTAATTATTAAAAGGGCCTTACGAATGTTTGCCCTTCGAACCTCAGCGGTTGAATGTACGTCACGT